TCGATATCGCATAGATCTCTCTGTGTGAGAGAGAGATCGAGATCGCACAGAGAGAGATCTGAGACAGTTTTTAAAAGAGGATATTTTTGGAATATGAAAAAAAGGAAGTAGCATTTTTGCAAAGTGGCATGAGACATATGGCATATCTCAAAATTTCTCTTGTTTTTTCAGCAAGATCATTTTTTTATAAAACAAAAAATTAAGATATCATAAGTTGACGACAAAAATACAAAAAAAAAGAGAGGAAAAAGTAACAATTATAAAAGGCCTGAAATACGAGTATTGGGCCAAGTTATTGGGCTTGAATGATAACAAAAGGATAAACGACACCGTTTAACTGGTTCTTCTCTTGCTGCAGTTGAAGCTTACCCGCTCATAGGAAAATTGGATGGCCACAAGCGCACCACACCATCACTTAACCAAAGAGAAACTAAAACCATTCCTGGTGTGGCTGCATCTGAGTTTTCGAATTCAAGATTCTGATTCGTTGAGAATCAGTGGCATTACTATTTTGTGCGATAAGATTATGATAGGTCGTATTTGATATTCACTTTTGTATCTTCGCGAAACGAAGCAGGCATAAAGGCTTATTGCAGGTGTAAAGCATCTGTGTTTTGGGTTTTGTTGTGGTTTAGTGATGAATTGTATAGAAAATTTGCGACCTTGATGAATTTCAGTTCGTGGGTTATTTGTTTTCTCCGGTGAAACATGCGAAATTTGAGCGTTTGGTATCTCTTTGATTGTTCTCGCTGGTGAAGTCTGTGTTGGGGAAAAAAGATGCAAGCTTTAAGCATTTGGCCATTAAAGTTTGGTCTTTTGGTTGGATCAAGATTGGAATTTGAGTTGAATTGTTCTTGTTTTGTAGTTAGCCCTAAGACTAGAAAGAGGCATTGTTTTGTTGAGCAGTCTTGTTTTGGTAGTATCTCTAGCTTGATCTTGGTTTCTAGTGATAGAAAAGTTGAAGGTTTGGCTATAAACCCAACCTCAAAAGTTCTGTTTCTGTGTGAGCCAAAGAGAAGGTTGTTGGGATCATCTGTTGGGGTAGGATGGGCCACGGAACAACGAGAACTCGGGGAGGAAGTTTCCAGGGAAGATTCAAGTTCAGTTACTGCATTAGATTTTGATCATTCTGAATCACAGGCTGTAAGTGGAGGAAAAGAAACAAAATCTAGAGTTAATGTTAGAGAATTGGCATATAGTTTACGAGCTGCTAAGACAGCGGATGACGTGGATGTTGTTCTCAAGGAGAAGGGAGAGTTGCCTCTTCAAGTATATTGTGCTATGATAAGGGGTTTTGGCAAGGACAAGAGATTAAAGCCTGCAATGGCAGTAGTAGATTGGCTTAAGAGGAAGAAGAGTGAGTCAGGGGGTTTGATCGGTCCAAATCTTTTCATATATAACAGTCTTTTGGGTGCCATGAAAGAATCGAGTGGGTTTGGAGAAGCAGAGAAGATACTGAGTGATATGGAGGAAGAAGGGATTGTTCCGAACATTGTTACTTACAATACTTTGATGGTTATTTACATGGAGGAAGAAGAGTTCCACAAGGCCCTTGGGATTCTTGATTTAGTCAAGGAAAAAGGTTTTGAGCCTTCCCCGGTAACATATTCCACAGCTTTGTTGGTCTACAGAAGAATGGAAGATGGAATGGGAGCTCTTGAGTTCTTTGTTGAATTGAGAGAAAAATACTTGAAGAAGGAAATAGGGAATGATGCAGACTACGATTGGGAATTTGAGTTTGTTAAGCTTGAAAACTTCATTGGTAGAATATGCTACCAAGTGATGAGGCGGTGGCTGGTTGAAAATGAAAACTTGACCACTAAAGTGCTGAAGCTTTTGAATGCAATGGACAATGCAGGGCTTAAACCAAGTAGGGAAGAGCACGAGAGGCTTATATGGGCGTGTACACGTGAAGAACATTACATTGTTGGTAAAGAGTTGTACAAAAGAATTAGAGAGAAGTTTCCTGAGATAAGTCTATCTGTCTGCAACCACTTGATTTGGCTGATGGGTAAAGCTAAAAAATGGTGGGCGGCGTTAGAGATCTACGAGGATCTTCTTGACGAAGGACCTGAACCGAACAACATGTCTTACGAGCTAGTGGTCTCTCATTTCAATATCTTGCTGAGTGCAGCTAGCAGGAGAGGTATATGGAGATGGGGAGTTAGGTTACTTAACAAGATGGAAGATAAAGGATTGAAACCGCAGAGCAGACATTGGAACGCGGTTCTTGTGGCGTGTTCAAAAGCATCTGAGACCGCAGCTGCAATCCAAATCTTTAAAGGAATGGTTGAAAACGGCGAAAAGCCAACGATTATCTCATACGGTGCACTCCTCAGCGCTCTTGAGAAAGGGAAGTTATATGACGAGGCGTTTCGGGTTTGGAACCATATGATTAAGGTAGGGATCGAGCCGAATCTTTATGCCTACACGATAATGGCTTCGGTATTGACAGGACAGAAAAAATTCAATCTTTTGGATACCCTTCTCAAGGAAATGACTTCAAAAGGTATTGAGCCAAGCGTTGTGACTTACAACGCGATTATAAGCAGTTGCGCAAGAAACGAGCTAAGCGGTGTGGCCTACGAGTGGTTTCACCGTATGAGAGGTGAGAATATTGAGCCTAATGAGATAACTTACGAGATGTTGATTGAGGCTCTTGCGAATGATGCGAAACCAAGGCTTGCTTATGAGTTACATTTGAAGGCTCAAAACGATGGGCTTAAGCTATCTTCCAAGCCGTACGATGCGGTTGTTAGATCTGCTGAGAGTTATGGAGCCATCATTGATCTTAATCTGTTGGGTCCTCGACCAGACAAAGAGAAGAGAGCTTAGTTGTATTTACAAGAGAGAAGATGAAACAGATTTAAAGTGATTGATGTGACCAACATTGTACAAGAGAGAAGATGATGTAACAGATTTTATGTTGATGATGTATATCCAAAAATAGGTAAACCGAAACTGAACCAGGGTTTAACCGAATCTAAATGTTAGTGAGTTTTACAATCAAGATTTGAGTTAATTTCCCCAATAATCACCATAATAGACAAACAAATGAAATTATACATTTGCTTAGTTTAAGCAAGTAAGATAATTTCCATTATTTTCTAGACAAAAATGTTTCGTTGATGTTCGACTATGTCTTGCTCCCATCCAGGGGAATTAGATTTTGTACGTGGTCTATTCTTTCGAAATTAACACAATATGTATACATTTTTTTTTAAAAAGGAACAAACTGAAGAATAAGAGGATGAAGAAAAATAAATAAAATTTACAAAACTAATAAATTATAATCCCAATGTTGGTCGACATACTAAAATCATTTGAAAGCTAAAATAGCAGCTCCAAAACCAATCAAACTAATGATTGAACCCAAAATGCTGTGACATTCATGAACAACAATCAATCCTGCCAAGCAGATTAAGCCAATGATTAGGGTATTAAGTCGTATATTGTAACCTTGCAAACGCCCAAGGTATTGTGCCTGAACCACTAGCCTTCCAATGCCTAACCCCATCCTGTAGTCTCCATCCAACAGGGTAACACTCCACAGCCACAAAACCAAGCTAATGGAGATAACCTTTAGAACACAATTCAGCAGGAAATGAGGTGGGATTGCCGCATTCACCACCCGACGAGTAGTCCATGTTCCGAATGTTATCACTGCGGTAAGAGCCACGTAGGCGATGAGGCCAAAAGTTAAGCTAAGCTGTAGCAGCTGGTCTTGTCTGCGGAATTTTGGCGAAACTGTGATGACAGAAGCACCAAAATACGACAGAGCCGTACACGCAACCGGGTGGAAGAGCCGCAGCACCTCATTTCCTAAGTTCCGTAGCCCTACAAACCATCCGGTCACCGGGTGGATGTCTTGGGCACCGGTACCCGGCTCAGCCATCCTGAAACGTTAATGTACGGTTAAAAACGGATCATAATAGGGTATTTGATCAGTAATACATATCCAAATTAACCTACTACTATGCAAATTTCAACAACAATAAAATATCTTTTTGACCCTTATGTACAGGGCATTGTTGTTTTGTGATAAAGTCACTGTCACAAACGAGTCTACGATCACACATTTTACCAGCAAAAGAAACACCCAAAAAATGTTTCCAATACTACAAGAAAGGGGATACTTAAACCAAAAAAGCTTTTATCATATGATATTCCGGCGAGAAGGTAACATAACGACCAGATACTACGACAATTCTTAAGATAACAGAAACACCATAAATGTTTCTTCTCTTGACCATTCATTTCAAGAAAGACAATAATGACCCACAAGCTTTAAATGTTCATCTTGTTCTCATTCCGAGACCGGAAACGTACCTGGATATTCCGCGATTGTAACTTAACGAGCGGCGTAACTCCGACGAGACCCAGAGAAATTGTAAATCCGGCGAGACGATTCCGAGACAAATATGTCAGCTGCGAGCTAGTTGGGCGAGGATTGAAATAGATTATCACGCCGGGAAGTTTTACTCTGCTAAGTAACACAATCACTCCATTAATCGCTGTTCGTTTAAGCTTTCTACCATTTCAAGAAAGAAAGATATAACTACCAAAAACTTTGATGTGAATCTTCGTTCTCCGGCGAGTGGCGAAGCAAATTCCGGCGAAAGACTCTGTCCTCGACCTGACTACGATTACTTCGTTAATCGCTGTTCGTTAAGGTTTAAGTATTTCAAGAAAGAAAAGCTATAATTACCCAGAAAAGATTTGAATGCGATCTTGTTCTCCGGCGATTCAGAAACAAGTATTTCACCGGCGAACGAATTGGGCGAGGAATGCAAATAGATAAACGAATACGAATACTCCGGTAACTGCTGCTTGTTCTCTGCTGCGTAACACGAATACTCCGTTGATCGCTGCTTGTTCTCCGGCGAGTGGCGAAGCAAATTCCGGTGAAAGACTCTATTCTTGACCTGATTACGATTACTTCGTTAATCGCTGTTCGTTGAGACTTAACTATTTCTTGAAAGAAAGAAGATAATTACCCAGAAAAAGCTTTGAATGTGATCTTGTTCTCCGGCGATTCAGAGACCAGATACTCCGGCGAGTAACTAAGCGACACAGCGAAATAAAGAGGATGGTGAGAACTAATTAGTTCGTTAAAGGTGCTTAAATAATTAAATAGACTCTGTTATTTGATTTGTAAA